AAACCGGATTTAAGGGCAAGAAGAGTTGAATCTTTGAAAAAAAATTGGCAAAATGATAGAGAGATAGAATAAACCCCTTAATTAAATGAACTGAGTTATTGAAGCCCACTGAAGAGAAACTTTCAAGGCAGGAGTGGTCAGCATTTATCAACACTGCTGACCCTGACCTCAGACACCAGTGGACTTAGAGAGAGCAACCAGTCTCCTAGCAGCTGTATGACAAGTGAGGACACAGGGCAAACAGCAGCACCCAAGATGGGAGAGACAGATGGATGGATACAGGGAGTCACGGCTTCCTGGAGCAGAGACTCAGGAGTGGAAACCACTGCAGGAACCAGCATGGGGCCAGGGAGACACAGACTGTAACTGACAAATGGATGGAGGCTTCGTGTGAACAACCAGAGAGTCAAAAACTCCAGGGGACCCAGTCATGAGGGAGCCCCACAGTTTTGTGAGATTCACCTCTAGGAGATAGAACAGATTCTCATAATAAATATCAGAGATGCACCCCCCTTGTGCTTCTGGAAGGGGAAGAAGAAAGGGACAATTGTTTTAATTGAAGTTTAGTTAATTTACAATGTTGTATTAGTTTCTGGTGTGCAGCATAGTGATTCAGATACGTATATATACATGTATACGTGTGTGTGTGTATTCTTTTTCAGATTCTTTTCCATTATAGGTTATTACAAGATATTAAATATAGTTTCCTGTGCCATACAGTACGTCCTTGTTGTTTATCTATTTTATACATAATACTGTGTCTCTGTTAATCCCAAACTCCTAATTTATCATTCCTCCCCTTTTCCCTTTGGTAACCATAAATTGTTTTTCATGTCTGTAAACCTGTTTCTGTTTTGTAAATAAGTTCATTTGTATCATTTTCTTAGGTTCCACATATAAGTGATATCATATGATATTTGTCTTTCTCTGTCTGACTTAATTCACCTAGCATGATAATCTCTAGGTGAAAAAGGACCATTTTTAAATACGCCAAAGCACTCTGTTCTGAAAAGCCCTGCTCTCCTGGGAAACTTGATTAACCAGAGCCTAACCTGCTGGGGTATCATCAGAGCCTAACTGACCTGGGGGATGAGAAATACCTAACTCCAGCCTTCCACGTGAGAGAAGGGAAGTACTCAATTCCAGCCCCCTCCAGCCATTCTGTAAACACTCGTGACGTTCACAGTTCAAGGTATAGACTCACTAAGACTGAGACCTAATTATGGGATGCTTCCCCTCCCCCAGCTCCTTACCATCACATTGGTAAAGGCTTATTTACAGCAATTCCTTTGCCTGCTACCTTTTACCTGGCTATCAAGAAAAAATCACAAGGCATTGCAAAAGGTGAAAAACACAATTTGGTAAGACAGCCAGCATCAGTGCCAGACGCGGCAGGGATGTTGGGATTATCTAAACAGTCATTTGAAACAACTCCGATTAATATGCTGAAGCCTCTAATAGATAAAGTGGACAGCATGCAAGAAGAGATGGCAATGTGAAAAGAGAGATGGTAATCCTAGAAAAAGAACCGAAAAGATAAAAATAATAACAATAATAACAGAAATAAAGGATGCCTTGGATGGGTTTCTTGGTAGACAAAACACAGCTAAGGAAAGATCGCTGAGCCAGAGAACATATCAATAGAATCCTTGAAAATGAAAAAGCAAAGAGGAAAAAAAAAGACCAAAAAAAAAAAAAACCCAAAAAACAGAACAGACTCTCCAATGACTGTGGGACAGTACACACAGAATGGGAATACCAGAAGAAGAAAGAGAAAGGAAGAGAAAAAACATCTGAAATCATAATGACTGAGAATTTCCCCCAATTCAAGTCAGACACCAAGATGCATCCACCAAGGAGTGAGACTGAAGGATGAAAAAAGCCAAATGGAGACAGGGTAGCCCAAGGTAGGCACTCGACAAATCCTTAGTGAATTAATAAACATGACATGATCGTGTATCCATACAGTCATTTATTGAATATCTACTACGTACCTTAAGATCACTCTCATCAAAACTACACATCCTAGGCTCTGAGAAGCATCAGACAGCCCGCACTGACAAGAAGGTGCACGGGAAAAGGTGCAGCAAGACAGTGACACGCGCAGACGACAATTGCACAGCTCTGCACGACCTCTGCGGTTTCTACTTTACAAAGCACCTCCACGTATATTCTCTCTTTTGATTCTCATAATGCAAATTGTACATGTCAGTACCATTCAGAGGCTCCACCAGTGATTGCTGACTACAGTCAAGATAAAATAGAAGCTACTTGGCAAGGCTTTTGCTCGCTCACACACAAATGACTTTGCCTACCATGTGTCAGATGCTGTTCTAGGTACTGGGAGTATATAGGTGGATCAAAAAAAGGACCCTGTCCTCATGGTGCTTACCTTCCACTGGCTGACCACATCCCTGATGATGTGGCCTTTGCCCACCTGCCCACCCATTTCCTCCGACCCCCTTCCTCCCCTCCAGCCACATGGGACCACAGGCAGTTTTCTGAACATGCCTGCTAGGGAAATGCTACATCATACATTGTTACCCACCACCGCCTCTTTTTGGAATATCTTCTTCCCTTCTCCTGGCTACTTCCTTCTGGGCCATCTAGCTCAAGCAGGTGCCGGCATCACTCCTCGGGCAGCTCTGCCCACCACCCTCACCGGGTCTGGCAACCTCCCTCCCCTAGCCCACGCACACATATCCCTCCCAGCCTTGAGAAAGGGCTCCATGTGGAGAGGCTAACTTGTGGTTATAGCTCTCCTTTCAATAGACATTATTTCCTTTCTCTGGTGGACATCAGTCATTTGTGCCACCCAGTACTTGTCCCCCCTTCCCTGGGGACCCCTGCCTTCACCAGGAGAGTCTGAGTCCACAAAAAATCTAGGGGCACAGCGTAGTAAAGAATTTACCTCACAACTAAGCTCATCCACACAAGCCCATTGCCCTGAATGCTGTTATTGGTTTAGAGGAGAATCTGACCCAAGGTGGTCCAACTGAAGTGAAGTCCAGTTTGTTGGACCATCATAGGGTGAGGAGCTCACAAGGATGTGGTCCTCAGAGCTGCGAGCAGCCAGCCGGTGACCTCAGGGACCTGTCTGAGGAAGTGGCAGAGCCACGAGTAGGATCCTAACTGCACTGCTTAGGACCCAGGCTACTTACTTACAAAAGTCAATGCAATTATAAACGCCCCTCCCTCTCCGCCCCAAGGGAGATAGGCTGGGTTTTCCTTCCTGACAAATTCACCCCACTATAGGAGGGAAGTGGCTACAATGTGCTGTCCTTCATGTGAATTGTAGCCAAGCCTTGCTATGCTTCCTTCAGGGACTTTTATATGACACCAGAGACAGAAGTTTCCAGAAGATAACCCCCCATTTGGTTTGCAAAAGCCTAGACACATTGACATTTTTCTCCAAAACACTATTCTGCACACCCCAAATTTGACTTCACTTTCCAAAATCATTAAGCTGTATAAGCCATGATTCAGAATTGAAATGTCAGTTAGCCTTTAAAACCAAAATGATTAAAACTGTGTCCCCTGCTGCACACACATATTAAATTTTTGCTTGACAGCGAGGTTTAAATTCTGGAGATTAACTAAAGCTGAAGGGAAAAATTTAGATGCCTTGGAAATTAGTGAGTTACACAATGGATAACTAACAGGAACAGTGCTCGTCCACCTTATGTAAATAAGAAAGTAAATAATTTAGAGATCATTTGATATAGAATCAATAGGACTCATATTTTATTAATAACTCAAAGCTGATGACAACAGAATTAATCAAAGGAAAGGTAATTCATCTTCTAGCTTGTTTTTAGTTCATCCAATAGGCCTTAAAGGGGTTTCTGACAATTTCTTAAGGACAGAAGCCATCGAAATTTTGCTGTGAATATCACGTACACCTCCTGCCTACACACACTTCACACACACACACAGACAAACACACATACACACACACACAGCACTGGACTGCAGGAGTTAACAACATGGCTTTGGAGACAGGTGGACACTTCCTCTTGCATCTTGGGCAAGTAGCTGATACCCCTACCCCTCAGTTCTCCCTTCTGCAAAACTGTCCAGGTTGTAAGAAGGACTAAATGAAGTAATCAATGTGAAATTCTTAATCTAGGACATACTATGAACAATAACAGCTAAAACTGCCTTCTCGGCACTGTCTGAAGCACTTTGCAAGTGTTAGGTGATCTAGTGGAGATAACAACCTGTAGTCTACGAAGATGCTAAGATTCCCCTCACCGTGTTAATGAAGAAACTGAGGCTCAAAATCACAGAGGTACTAAAGAGCAAGGCTCGGGTGCCGCATACGTCATAAAAAATAACATGTGGTAGCGATCGTGATTGTGTTTGTTTTCAATAGGTGCTTATAAAAGAAGGCTTTCACGCCAAGATTTTCTTTGGAAGGGGTCTAACCAGATATCTAACTTGGTTTGGGGTAAAGTATGACAATGATGCAAGATGCTTAAAAATTAAGTCAACAGGACCACAAACTTAACATCCCCAACCATTCATTACAGCTTCAATTTTCTTAGGAAGGAAAGATGGAAAGAACTAATGATACTTCCGAACCCAAAGGGTGGGCAAAGTATTTGCGTCCAGCTGGAGCATGGGTAAAGGAAAATCTGAGAAATGAGGTGTTGTCTGATTCTGCTGCAGACAACCTGTGTGAGCTACCAGCTCACAGAGTCTGAAGTTCCTGATCTGTCAGATGAGAGGATTTTATTAAATCAGGGACTCTCAAGCGCAGTACAAGCTACATATTAGAATCATCCAAGGAGCTTTTAAAAAATATCCAAACCTGGGTGCCGCCAAAGAATCTAATCTACTGCCCTGGGATGCAGCCGCGGCATAAGAAGTTTTGAAAACTCCCCCAGAGATTCTGATAGGCAACCAAGGTTGAAAACCACTGCCTTAAATCATCTCCCAGACGTAAAACTACGCAGGTCCACGTGCATCTAAAGCTCACAGAGGCCAAAAGGAAATACCTGAAGCAGAATCGTGTTGCCATCGTAGTCCTGCGTTTGCCACCGGGTGCGGCTGATGGGGACGCACGGATGGGGTAGGAGGGGCACTAACTGGCCGATCTCTTGAACCTTGAACTGCAACACCGAAGCCTCTTTCGGGTCCACCGACGTCCCCAGGGGCAGCTGCTTCAGGGCGAGCTGCAGAGCAAAGCTCTCGGTGGCGTAGAGCACAAAGAAACAGACGTTGCTCTTCTGCGAGGTGGCTTCCCTCTGCAGGATCATCTCATAGAGCCTGACGGCGTCCTCGTAGTTGTCAAAGCTGCAGTAGAGCGTCACTCTCAGGACCTCGGTGCCCCCGTGCACCTGCCTCACACCCCACACGGGCATCTGGCTGTCCAGGCTGTAGAACTGCTGGTCGGCAAGAAGGTAGGGGCACGGCCTTCCCTGCGCGCTCTGGGCGGAGTAGCACTGCCACGGCCAGCGCTGCAGGGAGTCAAGCACGCGAAGGAGCCGCTCCTCTCCGAGGCTTTCGTGCAGGAAGAGCAGGACAGACATCCCGGGGAAGCGTGACCGCTTGGAGTGGCACTTGGTGCAGTATTTCACCGGGCTGACCCGCTCGGACACCAGAAAGAGACGGACCTCCGGGCAGATGCAGTCCAGGAGCTGGTCCAGAGTTTGCTGCAGAAGTGAGCCATGCCCAGAGTTGGCCAGGAGGTGGACAGTCATGGCCAGCGTCTCCTGGGTCCCGCCCATCTTGCGGATGCTGAGGACCGCAGAGGGTGCAAGCCGGGAGGGCTCGCTGGTCAAGCTTCTGAAATGACGGGAGGGGCGGGCAGTTCCCGAGCGCAGCCTTCAGCGACTTCAGAGCCAAGGCCTCCACGGCTGCTGCTGGCGGTCGCCGGCCACACGGTGAGAGAGCCTCCCTCAGTGCGCACATCAGCCTCCACGACGCGCGGCGGGCGCGGGGGCGAGGTCCCCGGCTGGGGCACGATGTGACTGTGCGTGCAGGGCTGTTTCAGGCGCTCCCGGGGTTTCTGTTTGATCTAAAAGCCTATAATCCTGAGAAACACCCGAGTGGGTGGTTCTTACAGACACTCAGGAAAGGAAATGACAGGGCGAAAAGGAACAGGAGTCGGCTCTGTGAGGCTGATAACGATCTGTTTAGTTGAAAAGACATCCATTTTATGGACCACAGTGGGTTCTGATTTCCTCCCTACTTCCCTCTGGTTTACAGTAGCCGCCAGGCCACCTGAACACAATGACTGCTTTCAAACAATTCTCAGAACTTGTCCCTTTGCCAGGATTTTCTTTCCCCTTTGTCTTTTTGTTTTATCTTTGAACAATTGATGCCAGGGCATGGAAGAGAAGATATTTTATTGAAATAATTTTGACTGCTTACGGATAATGGTTTGCTCAGCTGCCAAGTCAGAGGATACTTCAAAGACCATTATTCGTGCCCATTCTTTAGAAATAGTGAGTGTTTTCCAACGTCAGTAATAATCATTGTTCACATCTATTGACGTCAGAAACTGTGCTAGAGCTTTACATTAATTGGTTTAATCCTCCAGTAAACCTCTGAAGAAGAGACAATTGTCCCCAAGCTACTGAGGAAGAAACTGAGTCACACAAAAGCCAAATCATTTGCCCAAGATCTTGCAGCCAAGAAGTGGCTGAGGGAAGATTTGAACCCAGAAACTGAATGGTCTCCCTGTGAACCAGTTAGGAGGTGCCTCTCAGGGACCCAGATGTCCCAGACTGGATTTTCTTTCTAATTTTAAGGAAAGGGTGCCAAAGCCAGTTCTAGTTGGGGACATAAATTTCCCAGAGACTGTGTGCTGTTGTACTTTAAACTGAATAACCTTCAGTAAGAATATCCAAGCTCTAAACATATTCCAATAGCTGTGCTCCTAAAAAGGTGTGGGCAAGCACGTATTTCTAAGTGTAATTCTTAAAATAAGCGGCTGATTAATGCTTATAAAGGAACATGGTGTGACTTGATTTTTTATAAAGTAAAAAGCACTTTTGTGATGAAAAACATAACTTACCCTAACTTTATTTTATATAGGTTGATGGCTTTTTTTTTAACAGTTTTATTGATTTATAATCATTTTACAATGTTGTGTCAAATTCCGGTGTAAAGCACAATTTTTTCAGTTATACATAAACATATATATATTCATTGTCACATTTTTTTCTCTGTGAGCTACCATAAGATCTTGTGCTATACAGTATAATCTTGTTTATCTATTCTACAATTTTTGAAATCCCATCTATCCCTTCCTACCCTCCGCCCCCTTGGCATATAGGTTGATGGCTTTGATAGTATAAGAACCAAATTTAACATCAAATATTGGTATCTGTGGAAGGGAACCATTTCTACTCAGATTTCCTTTCTAAATCTAACCTATGCTTCTCACCATTTGAGTTTCAGAAGTCCTCTACATTTTGCACTGGAAAAAATCTATACGTATAGTTTATAACAGATAAATTATTTTTTAATTACCATCAGTGATTCAGTAATTAAGTTCATTTTATTTCAACTTTCCAAAAGTCATTAGTAGTTTTTTTTTTTTAAGGCATTATCGTTCTGAAGCTGTTAATGTATGTTACACACTGACATTTGCGGGCAGTAACTTTCTCATCCCTCGCTAAGACTTCCCTCTCCCTCCTCCTGTCCTTCCCTCACAGAGCTGACTTGAGCATCTTGGACTTCAGACACGGTTTTTGAAACACTCTTTGCTATTCTGGAAATAACTCTAAAGATTCGAGGAGAAAAATTATACCCCTGAGACAAAGATGTTAATTCACAACATTTGTGCAAGGCAAGCATTTAAACCCTTACATAGAAAACACTTTGCTCCTTGATGTTTTAATCTTCTTTCCAGTGCGAAAACATTCTTTTTCCTTTGTGAGGTTGTCATTTCTGTCAAGACTGAAAAGATTTGGTTAATCTGATGGCCACTTGAGTGCCAAGAAACAGGGGGGTGGGGGGAGGAGACAGGGTACCACCAGTCTCCTATCTGATGGGCTGTCTCCGCAATTATTTCTCCAGGGACAACCTGAACGATTGACCCTCCCCCCACCGAGTAACTGGCCCCACTCCTCACACCTCCTTCCACCCACCACAATGGCCCGATTCTCAGCTGGGCTCCACGTTCTGTTCATTTTTGCACACTGCTTCTGTTGAAAGCACGGATGAAAATATCAGGGGAAGCCATCAGCTTTGACTCTCAGTACCTGGACAGCTGACACTCTATTCTCTACCTTATTTTTCTTAAAATTGACAGAGGTGCCCAGGTGTCTGTCAGTCACCAGCTCCTGGACGGCCGCCAGGCGGTCAACCCCTTACAGCAAAGTGGGGAAGCTGGTGACAGGCAGTATCAGGAAATCTAAGAAATCAGCTAGTTAGGAGGCTCTGTTGGAACCTGTCCGTGTCCTTTGGGATTTGTCCCTGCGGCAAGTCTCATAAACACCCTGGGATACCTTCAAATCCTGAGAGCCCACCCTCCGTCCCAAGAAAATTTTGAGGAAGAGTTTCTTTCTCTCTTTACTTTTGAAATGAGCTTCTTTATCCCACCTGTTGAGAGCCAGCCACTGGGCCAGGGGCAGCAACTGGATCACCGCCATGTCCCACCTGGGAGCAGCACCTTCAGTTACGTCATCAGTGACAAAGGTCACTGCAGGATGCCATGGAAACCCCTAGGAGGCACCACCAACCTAGACTGGAGGGCCAGGGAAGCCTGGAGGAGGAGGAGGTGCTACTTGAAGTTCTGAAGAGTGAGGAGGAAGGAGCCAGGCAGGGAGGAGACTGGGTGTGGGGGAGGGGGAGGGACTCCAGACAGAGGAAGTTGACAGGGACGAGCTCCACCCCGGGAAGAGGGCAGGAGCTGTGACCCACGGGCAGAAGTCACCATGGCTGTGGGGTGAGGACAAAGAAGGGCGTGTGAGGCTGCAAAGGTTACCCTAGAGGCTTTGGGTTTTCTTCTAAAGGGAACCACAGAAGAGCTGGCTCGAAAAAGGAAGTTATGCTTGGAGAAAAATGTGGACAGGAGTGAGATACGGAAAGTCAAAGCTCACGGACAGGCGTGGTAGCCTGTTGGAGGAGGGCAGAAGCTTGCAGTGACAGGACCAGGGGGTCTGCCAGTGTGTCACTTACAGGTGCCAAGGTGAGGCTACCAGTCATCCAGTAGGGAACACGGGAGAAAGGAGGCAGCCGGGAGTGAGGCGAAGGCTTGCAGTTTAGACTTGGCGAGTGTGAATGCCTGTGGGACATCCGAGTCGAGGTGTCTGGTGGCCGTTTAACATGGAACTTAGAGAGGAGAATCTGGGTTGGGGAACAGTTGGTCGTTATGTGACCAGGGGAGCTCATGTGTTGATCCAGGTAGAGCATTCACAACAAAGATAGGAAAGGTGAGGAAGGGATAGGACCCTGGAGGACCCAGGTTAAGGGACATGGCACAAGTGGCATCCGGAGAGAAGTGAAGGGTGGGTGTGTCGCCCGAACCCAGCGTGGGTGTTTGTGTCTTAGGTCACGAAGATTTCAGGACTTGGCACTGGCTGGGCAGACGTCACTCCACGTATCAGAATAACATTTGTGACTCACTACCTTCTCAACTGAGCAAACTCAAAAGAAGCCCCAAGCAGCCCTCAGAGCCATTCAAGCCTGTTTTCCTGGTTCCCCAAACAATCTTAACTCTGATTCTTTGTCTGATACTTTAGGTGCTAACCAGGCGCTAGACATTACAGAATTTGAGGCAATAGCTGGAGAAAAGGTGCTGGGAAGGGATCAGGTCAGGCTTACTTTTAACCCCCCGACGGCAGCCTGCAGCCGTCCCCCTGCAGGGCAGGCTCGAGACGGATCTGCAGCGAAGAAGGGATCTTGGCATCTCCTAGAGGATAATCCCAGGGAAGTGAAGGGACTTTCCCAGAATCATGTGGCTGGTGAGTGGCAGAGCCTGGATTTCTGGTTTTTCAATCATGCTTCCCCACCGCCAGAGAAGCCGTGTGCAGCACCTGCCTCCATTCAGGTCAGAGCCATTCAAGTTCAGGACACACGCCAGCACATAGAAAGGAAAAAGGAAGATACGAGGGGTGGGCATCGTTTGTGTCCCGTGTCCTAGACACGTCTGGTTAATGTGTTTCCCCATCCTTAGGGCATAATTTCTGGCTTCTCCAGGGGGTTCTGGAAGAAAAAGCAGCAGGCAAACAATGAAAACCTATGACTCCTGCCCTCTCTGGGCTCCTCCTCGGGCAGAGGTGGGAGGGAGGAAGTGGCCACAGCAAACGCCTTCTCCAGGCTGCTGTGGCTCTCAGCTGAAAGCTTCTCTTCTGGTTCCCCAGAGGACACCCCCTGCTCGACCCCAAACAATGCTATCAGCTTCCTATTAACTTGCCATCTGTTTCCCCTTTCCCAGGACAGTGCAGCCCGGGAGCAGAGTCTGTGAGCTGATACCCTGCGTTTTCACAGGTGCCGCACAGGAGGCGTGTTTCCTCCTCCATCTTTGTGGCGGTCGTCTGCTGTGACATCGTTCCCCGTGCTCTGACCTGTTATCGCTCTCGGCTGAACCCCTCAGGAGCTATTTTCAACTGAGCTAAAATCACACGACGTAAAAGTCATCGGTGAAGTTTTATTCAGGACCTTACTGAGGATAGAGCCTGGGGACTCAGCCTCTCAGATAGCTCTGAGGAACTGTTCCCAAGAGGTAAGGGAGGAGCCAGGATATATATGAACTTTTTTTGCTGGGAAAAACATGTAGTCAAGCATAAAAAGATAATTGCTAGTCACAAAGAACAGACATCTCAAGTTGGTGATTTTAGTGCTTTTCTATGTATGGAAACACACAAGAATCTGGGGTCATTGAAATTTTTCCTTCAATATGCATTTTAACTATTTCGGGACCAGTAATTCCAGAGCACAGAATGCTGCCGTTTCTCTCCATCCTGAATTCCCCTCAGGGAGCACTGTTGGTGGGGACTGCGGTGGCTGACGGCTTGGTCCTTGCAGAACCAGAATGGCAGGCAACGTTTTTTCTTTGCACTGCATAAGAAGGCGGAGAAGGAGAATGGGACAAGCTGTGAGCAGGGATATGAGCCACTCCACCGGGCTCTGCTGCTCCCCCAGCAGGCACCTGAGACTCCTGATTCCTCAGGTTTGGCTTCATAATCCACTGAAGATGAAAAGCCACAATGGTAATAATTGACCTGACTCCCTTCACAGAGTAAATAAAATGAACTAAAGACCCCAGAGGGCCTTCCAAGCGCTCAAGGGCTCTGTAAGCATGGTCCTCCCCACATGAAAGACTGTATATGTAATACTGTTTTAACTCCCAAATAATATCCAACAAATGAGTGTTATTGGATATTGCAAGTGGATACGCAGCAAAAGGAATAGATAAATACATTCATGTGTGTTATTTTCATGGAATACTATGCAGCAGTCAAAAACAATGAAAGAACTTTGGAGAAGTAGATTAGCACTACCTAGTAAGGTTTCAGACATAGTATATCCTGCACTTCAGCATCCCCCCACCCCAGATATAATCTCTGGAGAAATCCTCTCACATATGCACAAAGGAAGGCAAAATCAAGAATGTTTTATAATTGCATTGACTGAAATAGGAAAAAAGTAGGGGAGAGGGAACCACCTAAATGCACACTAATAGAAGAACAATGATTTATATCACATTCTTGCAGTAGAATACACTACATTAAGGGGAATGAATGAATCTGAACCACCTACTTCAGTTTTTTTTCTTCTTTTTTCTTTTTACTGAAGTATAGTTGATTTACAATGTTGTGTTAGTTTCAGGGGTACAGCAAAGTGGCTCAGTTATACATTCACGTACATATATATATTCTTTTTCAGATTCTTTTCCATTATAGGTTACTAGAAGATACCAAATATTGTACATACCCTGTGCTATACGGTAGGTCCTTGCTGTTTATCTATTTTATATATAGGAGTGTGTATATGTTAATCCCAAACTCCTACTTTATCCCTATTCTTACCCCCTTTCCTCTTTGGTACTCATGGTTTGTTTTCTATATCTGTAAGTCTATTTCTGGTTTGTAAATAAGTTTATTTGTATAATTTTTTTTTAGATTCCACATATAAATGATATCATATGATATTTGTCTTTCTCTGTCTGACTTACTTCACTTAGTATGATAATCTTTAGATCCATTCATGTTGCAGCAAATGGCATTATTTCATTCTTTTTATGGCTGAGTAATATTCCATTGTATATATATGTAAATATATACATATATATACACCACATCTTCTTTATCCAGTCATCTGTCAGTGAACATTTAGGTTGCTTCCATGTCTTGGCTGTTGTGAATAGTGCTGCTGTGAACGTTGTGGGTGCATGTGTCTTTTCAAGTTAGCGTTTCCTCTGAATATATATGCCCAGGAGTGGGATTGCTGGATCATTTGGTAACTCTATTTTTGTTTGCATACCAATAGAAGAATATTTATATCACATTCTTTCAGTAGAATACACTACATCGAGGGAAATGAATGAATGTGAACCACCCACTTCAGTCTGAATGAATCTCACAGACATAAATGTGAGTGACAAAAGGAAGTTGCAGACAATGTGTATAGAATTATACCATTTATATAAAATCTGGAAATATGCAAAGACTCTCCAGTGGTTATAGATAAAAACCTAGGTAGGCAATGAATAAGAAATGCATGAGAATTAGAAACACCAAATTCAAGATCATGTTTGATTCAGCTACTGGGGGGATGTGTTCAATGTTCTGGTAATTTTTATTTATTAAGCTGGGTGGTAGGTACATGTGTTCTCATTGTATTATTTTTAGACCTTTCTGAAGTATTTCATAATCATTTTAATGAGGGAGATCTATTATGTACCGACCTAGAAAGATAGCTGCAGTATAGTGTTAAACCAAACAAAAGACATGTTAGCATAAGATTCTGTTTTCATATAAGAACTGTGTGTGTGTGTGTGTGAGGTGTGTGTGTGTGTGTGTGTGATTGGTAAACACAGGAAAAAATTAGTCTAGCAGTTCGTATGAGAGCGTCAGTAGAGGACACTTCGGTGAGTTGGGATTAAAAGGTAAAGGAGACTTTCTTTGCTTATTTCACTTCTTACTTCATATATTCCTCTATCACTCGTGTTTATTACAAACACCATGTATTATCTTTGGAATTAAAAAATAAACAATACGTGCATGAATTCAAGTAATACATGAACTACACACTTCTAACCCATTCTTTCAACAAATGTTTACTAAGCACTTACCATGTAATTCAGACTCTGGGCTAGATGCTGGGGATACCATCATTAATAACAATGAATACTGCCCTGGTTCTCATGGACCTTGTATTCTGATCAGAGACAGACAATCAAATCATCACCTGGTGATATGTAAAATGGTACCAGCATTAAATGTTACAGACAAGTGGTGCAGAATATTCACTCTACTCAGGGAGGTCAAACAAGCCATCTCAGCAGAAGGAAGCTGTGATTTTTAAAAAGGATAAGTTACCTGGGAGAAGTGGGAAAGATATACTAAGACAAGAAACAGTACGTGCAAAGACCCTGTGGCAGGCAGGAGCACAGCAGAATGAAGGAAGGGCTCCTAGAGCTGGTGGTGTCATGTGCTAAGACAAGAAATTCTACAGGAAGAGCAGGTTTAGCTGGGGTGTGGCTGGGAGGTTTTGATATATGAGCTCCAGAAAAATGTCATAAAATTCACAGTGCTCCTAGCAACCCAGGAAAGGAGAAAATCCAGAAAATCATTGGACAAATGATAATAACTCATACTTATTGAGCACTTACTATGAGCCAGGCACTGTTCTAAACACTGAATGTATGAACTAGTTTAATCCTTACAACAATCTTATTAGGTAGATACTACCTTTATGCCTATTTTACAGATGAGAAAACTGAGAAGCAGATGGAAAGACATTAGAGCATAGACGTTTTAGTCATATCTATACAACCTTCCATTGTGTTATTGTCACAATGCCTGGTACCTGTGGGGACATCAAAAACATTTGCTCCAGAAAGCTGTGACCTGTTAGCTGAAGATACACGGCAAATTTTCTACTTGATATGCACACATGATTTCTCTTCCCCTGGTGGAAAAACGTTAGCTATTTGTCAACAATTTGAATTACAGGTGAACTATAATTAATAAATAATAGCAAACTTTCCTCATTAGAAGTTTAAGAAATGACCCAAAAGAAACAAAACAAAGCAAAACAACAGTAATAACAACAAAAAAATCCCTGCCCGTCTGGGAAAAGGGATCATAAATGCTGTCATAAACTCACCTGCGTTTTAGACGGGTAACTTTCCAACGTGAGGACTTAACGTTCATGAAGTGACATGTCTATAAGTTAGGAAGGATGATGCCAACCGACTTTGAACCATAAACAGTTTTCAAACATTTCACTAACACAGAATGTGCCCCCTTAAAAATAGGCTAGAAATGGCCACATAATGCAACACCACGCCTCAAATTCTGCCAAAGATGGTGCTCCTCCAAAAAGTCTGGCCTTAGTTACCATGTAGATTATAACTAGAGATGCATAGTCTCATGCAAGAAACATCGCTCCCCATGCCAACCTTTAAACCATTAAAGGCTCGCTCAGCATAAAGCTGACAAGTCAGTCCGACCGAAACCAACGTGCCCGGGCCTGTGGGGCGGCCCCGCGGAGCCTGGGGCTTGGCTGTGCCCTGTCAGCTGCTCTTCCCTCCCCAATGCGCCTTCATTCCCGCTTTATATTAATATCCCAGCTGCTGCAAAAGCGCATGGCTGTGCCAACCAGGCAGCAAAAATAGAATGGGGGGGAATAACCATCACATTATGAACCAATCGGTTTCTAAACCACAAAGCAGCAATTTTGGACTATTCAACTTCACGAAAGAACTTTTATAAGACACAAATTGAAGTCACGCTTTCTATGGCTGCCTGATACAAGTATTTTGCGGCTGGATTTTTTTTCCCCCAATATGAATCATTCTGAGAAGGTTTCTAAATTTGTCTGTGGTATCTATTCTGTAGCATAACACATGAGAAAAAATGAGGCCAGCTCTGAAATTACACACAATCCATGTACAAACCACAATATTGCTCGAATCTACAACTTTAAACGTTGAGCTGCAAGTTGGGTAAGAGAATTGTTCTGAAGATGCGGAAGACTTAGGTTGGAATCTTTGCTCTATTACGTTCAAAATTAAGTTTCTTTGCTGATTCCCAGAATGGGTGGGCTCTATCCTTGGTCACTGTGGGGATCAGAAGATAAGCCTGCATGTGCCTGGCAATAATGCATTTTTTTGTTTTTAGTGCAGACACTGCGTTCACTGCCTTTTCAGTGGGTACTGTTCAGTAGCTGCATACATGCTTGGTCCATGTGTTTTTTAATCCAACCCATTCTAGGCCACCCATGATAACACACCTTTTAATGTAAGTCATATTTGGATTTACTGGTCTTAATTAAAAAGGTGTGTCGTTTCCTTATGTGGGAAACCTACAGCACATAAAACTAGGCAAGAAATGACCTGTTTAGCAAAGTCATACTTCAAGAGTAAGAACTGGGGAATCAATAAAAAACGTAAAAAAAAAAAAAAAAGAGTAAGAACTGGGACCTCTTGACTCATGGCTCCCAAACCATTAGAGAGGCTCCCAACGCACCCAAAGGCAAGTGCCTGTTGGAAGAGGTTATTTATGGGAGGAGGGAAGAGGCAAAATGGGAAAATTAAAGTTATTATTAACATGATGAAGTCATCAAACTCAACAGCTGGGTGGGACCTTAGAAGCCTCATCTGGTCTGACTTTTTAGATTGAGAATCTGATGCTAAGGAAGGTGGGTGGGTTGCCTTGGTCACCTAGTTCAACATGGCTCAGCGGGAACTAGAACACAGTCTGACGGATGGGCTTCGGTCCACAGGTGCAAGGACAACCTTAAACCGATACAAGTAAAAGACCAGGTACCACTTTCTATGTAGGTCTTGGAGGAGCCATGTGTTTTAAGTGACAATGTCCTTTCGTTGTGAATAAAGGGCCCTTTCCCCACATCCCTAATACATGTGTGCTGGAAGATTGAAGGTTACCAGTTACTGGAGGGGATACTAGTACTAAATGCCATTCTGTCATGGGGCTTTCTCTTCCATGTGACAAAAGGTAGAAAAGAATGTAAGATGTAACTAGGTGAGAGGGGAAAAAAAAATCAGTAAACATCTTTCCACTTAATACAGTTCTCCTTACCAGGGAGATAGTTTATGGAGCTGGTAGGGGATTGCATACCTTCCGAAAGGCAGCCC